GCCCCCCAAAATTATTTTTGTAACTCCAGACCATTCTCTCTTGTCCAACATGAGCAGGTGCTCATCTTGTGACCATCTTATGACCACCTAGTCAGTGGAGATATTCCTTACCTTGCCCAACTCATGACCCTGCTGATATGTTGTTTTGCTCATTTTAGCCTAGTTGTCATATGTCAACCAATGCCATTATTCTGTTCTTGACCATTTACATGTCGAAACCTATAAAAATAGGGCCCTGGAAGGAGGAGGCATCTCGGATCATGAGGAAGATCTGAGGTCCACTTCATTAGAGGGGACCACAGACTCTTTAATAAGGTGCCATTGGCTCAGAGCTCTGCCTTGGTTTTTCTTATTGTAGGTTGGATAATTTTTATCCCCACACAAATGGCAACTCCTCCGGGACAGCATGGATCCCAACCTCTTTCGGCCAGTCTCTTCAAGGGACCCAAAGAGGAAGTGCACAGTGGGTTGAATTTTCACCGATGCTCTCCCATGGACACCAGCCCTGGGAGGTTGGACTCTTCTCACTGTCTGTACCCAAATTCTCTAAGCCTGAGCTAAATCTCTTCAAGATTGGTGAGTCTGCCTTGATTTACCCTAAATTTATTTTCTTTAAGGAGGGTCCCTGATTGGGTTAAGAGGGACTGTTTGAATTTGTGACTAATCTGTCTAAATTTATAAACCTCAGAGCACTCCAATTCAATTTTTTTTAATAAAATTATATGGCCATAACTTCAACTTTTTAAACATGGGCTACTGTTTTTTTTTCCCCATCCATTTTTCTCAATTTCATTTTTTAAGGCCAGGGAGATTCAGCATTAGAATTGCTAGTTCCTCATTTTCTGCCAGCCAGCCACCTAGCTAATTTTAAAACTTCCTGTTGGCAGAGTTAAAACAGATTTTTTGTCTTTAAATTCTTTTAACAAGGAGTAATTAAATAATTCCTGTCATCAACAGAAAAACCTCTCATAGTAGTTGAAGGGGAACTTTTGGGGCCTTAGGGGAGAGATTGCCAACCCCAACAGTAAGTTGTCAAGGCTGTGACCATCCTAGGAGCAATCCCACCCTCTTTTGACCTGAGAAGAAGGCTTATTTTAGTTTTACAGATATGAGGAAAGGAAAAGGTTATTTTCACTTATATCTGCTCAGGATTAAATTGATTAGAGCTAATTTTTCAGGAAGTTTTAAAGGAAAGTAGGTATAAATTTTGCTGAATGTTCCCTTATTAAGCACCTTTAGGCCCTAGTTAACCGGTTTTAGGATCCTAGAGGTTAAGCCCAGAAATTAAGAATTGGAAGTATTGGAGAAATTGCCAAAACAAATCCCTGAATATTACAGTATTGGCTGTAGGAAAGATGCCCATATAGGCAGAATTCAGGGGGGTTGGAAATTATTTCCCTTGCTTTATTTTGAGGCCTGGGAAAAGGGTGAACTCCCTGTCCAGGGGGGATATCTGAAGGAGGTAATCTCTAAATGCCTTCAACTCAGCAACTTCTCAGAAGGAATAGTCAAAAAGGCATGTACCTTGGAAACCTAGCCCAAATCTCTCGAGGGAAATTCCTCCAAAGAGTGCCACTCCTGTTCAGGGACATCAGGAAGAGAGATGGGGTGGGGCATAAGAGGAGAAACGTATCCTACAGGATCCCCATTATGGCCTGTGAAAAGGGTGAACTCCCTGTCCAGGGGTAGGGATGACTAAAGAAAGAGCTATTAAGCTGTGTGAAGTTTGGTTTGAGAATACAAAGGGTTTGGAGGATTGTTTTGGCCAAAGCATGGAACTTTTGATTCCTTAGAAAGGGATGGAATTTTATTGAATAACCTCCCAAATCAGCTTAAAATAAATGAACTATTGATATTGCTAAATCCTTCATCAGTCTCAGTTTTTCTTCCTATGGTTATACTTTGGCAAAAAGTCTAGAGGAATGGAACTTGAATCAGTTCTTCTATCTATTAGGGACTTGTTCTATATACAAAGTGCATTTTAAATGGGTGAACCTAATTGGCAAAGGCAAATTGGACTGGAGCAATGTGTATTGTTACTAAATTACAAGTTTTATTGATAAGATTCTCAAAGCATAAATATAATGAGGAAACAGAAAAATTATCTTAGGCTCACAGTAGGACCCTAACTACAAGATGGTCATGAGTTCTAGACTTGATAAAGGAGACAGGTAAGATCTGGACTTTAAAACCTCCTAGAGAAAACCTCGAAAGTTCAGGCCTGATTTAATGTTGTGTCTTGTTTTATGTTCTGCATGTGTCTGTTTGAAACTAACTTTAGGAATAGTGGGTATTTTATTTCAGATAGAAAAGGACCATATACAATCAGGAAAATTTTTAACAGAATTGGAAATGTGTGTCTGTTTTGTCTGTGCCATTTTTGCTTTGTGCTAACCCATATCTAAGAGGTGTTTTACCTACTATGCTTTTTCTTTTGGCATGCTCAACCAAAAGGAACAGGCTGTGTAAAACAAATAAATATATAAACTTTTTTAAAAGGCTTAAAAGAAGACAAATCTCTTTTTTTCTCTGTTTCCAACATTGGCCATGTTGGAGATTGATGAGATGAAAGACAGATACAAAAATTAATGGAAAACTAAGATACAAAAAAAAGATAGGCAACCAAATTTGTTAAAAAGGAATAATCATATTTCTTTCATGTCTAAGTTATAATTTGGATGTCTTTATAAGGTATTTGGATGAATTTATAAGTTACTAACAAACTCTGTAGAGTTTAGTGAAAACAACAAACAAAATTCACAGATCAGTTCTTACTTAAAAGAGACCTTTAAAATGACCAGGAATTGATTTAAAGCTAAAGTTTGCATTTTAAGAACTGTCTTTTTAGATTTAGATTAAAAATCTTATGAGTGTAAATAATTCTACCATTCAGAATTTAAAAAGGAAACACATTTGCTAAGCCTGAACAACTTTCAACTAGTCTCTAAGTCTGGAGTTTTGGGGTATCAATCTGTGAAGTGGGTTTTAATTTTAGTGTAGGATAAAGGCATACTTTAAAAACTGTACTCATAGTTGGGATAAACTTATTGTAGGAAGGAATTTTTTTTTATTAGAAGGCAGAATAAGGAAATTTAAGACCATCTTCAGAAAAGAATAAAAGTTGTTCATTTACCCTTCTGTTGTTTACTGCTTTTAAATAACAACCTGAGGGCACCAGGCAAGCCCTGGTTAGGGATCCCCAATTGAAGGTGATTCCCAAAGTACTCCCAGAAAAATAAATTAGCTCCTCTTTTAATGAGAGACAATCACAAAATTCATTCCTAATAGGGAAACGACAGTTTTGGAAGATATCAAAACTTTGTAAAGAGAGAGAGAGAGAGAGAGAGAGAGAGAGAGAGGTAATTAGAAATACAGATCGTTCCCAGTCAAGAAGCACCAAATAGAGGTTGCCTTTGAGAAAACTTTTCCATGTTTCATTAAGAGTGAATAATAAAGAAGAGTGTAATAATAGTAACCTCCTACTGTGAGAATAGCAGAGAACCTTTTAGAGTACCAATATCTGTGACATTTTTGTGCCATAGTTGGCCTTTGGAGGATCCCCCTTGGGCATTGCCAAAATAGCTGGATGAATGCTTTTCCAGCATAAAAAAGGTTAACTTTGAGAAGGAGACAGATGATTTTTCCTCTAAAATTGTCCTGCTTGCTAAAATCTGTGACAAAATGAGGGACTTCTTATGCTGAGTGAGTTATTTTTTGAGTCTATTTGCCTATCACTTATATAAACTATGTGATTGTAACATCCTAATTACCTAAAAGCCCTTAAAGAAATTAGCATTAACTATAATCACTAAAGAACCAAAAAAAGGTTTACTAGTGAAATTAAGCAAGTAGAAGAAAGAGAGAGTAGTGTTGCATGAGGAGAAAAGTTAAGGATGAGTAGACAGGTGAAGAAAGTTGGAGTTTGCACAGAAAGCATAAACTCAGGATTTGAAAGTCAAAGAGTTTTTGGTGTTTTGAAAGGGAGATTTTGGAAAGGATCTTAATCCCACTGAAATAGAAAAGATTTAGCAATATTTTTTAAGCAACACCCCTTTGATAGTTGCTACATGTCTTCCTTCCTCAATCAATATAAGTCTACAAAATATGTTTCATAAAATATGTTAATTAGTTGATTGATAGAGAAAGGATAATCTCTTTGCTCTGGTTTAAATAGTCACACTAAAGGATTAATCATTTAGAAAATTTAAAGAAACTGATTTGGCTCTTTGGGGAACTCCAAAAAACAAAGAAGCAGTGGTGGGAAATTGGGAGGGTCACCATGGATTTTTTTTTTAATATAAACCAAGTCAAAATAATGGAACCTTATCCAAAGTGAAGTTTAGTTATTGCCACTAGTCATTCTAAATCAAAATTGATTGGGCTGAAAATATTGTAATGGTAGTAAATTAGAGAATCCAATCAGTGCTTATATGTACAAAGGGAATAATAAATATTTACACCTATCTCTCAGGGTTGTTGGGAGAAACGCATAGTTGTGAAGTACTTAACACAGTACCTAGCTTGTGTAAAGCATGAGCACTGTGGTGTTCAGACCTTGTAGGAATACTATTGAATAAAATGTGTCCCATCTATAGGTACTTTTCCTAATTGGCAGGGATGTTAACAAAATTGGGAAATTATAGATTAAACATTTTAAAGTATTACTTAAAAAAAACAGTTGAACAACTTTCAAGACATATAAGAAGCCTGGCATGAAGTAGGCACTACATCAACTACTAGGACAAGCATGAAAGTGCCAGGGGTAATACCACAAATGACTTTCTATGAATTAATAAGCTTGAAAGGTATTAATCTAAGGTGATGTTTTAAGTACAAGAAGGCTAAGAGAAGCTGTTAAAGCAAGTTTCTTCCTCTTTTCAATCTGAATACGGTTACGTTATAAACATATCTGTTATATGATTACTGGAGCTTATATATACACATATATATATATTTAGAAACATAAAAAATACTAATAGTAGTAGTAATAAATGACTTACTGTTGTGAGAAAAGCACAGCAAAATCCTCTTAGGAGAGCTTTGTGAGGTTCCTTGGGATGAGCCCTACTGACAAGGTGTTGTGAAACTCAGCAGCACTGCCATTTGAGGAACTAGGGTTTCCCCCACCCAAACTGGAAAAAGGAAAACTTTTTTAATAATAAATGGGTGTCATTTGGGACCTTTTGGAAACTTAAGTAATTGTATCTTTTAATGCTATTATTTTGAACCAGCTATTCGCTGTGTATGAACTTGTGGTGAAGAAGTGAAAACAGCAGTAGTACGGTGCTAAACAGGTCTCTTGGGTCTGGGTGACTGGGATAGGTAAACCACTCTTCCCCAGATATACTTTTTTTAGTTCCTAAGGGGTTTAGTTCCTAAGTGGGGGGGGGGGGGAATCATTGTGGCACACAAGGGATAATAGATTTAATTAAGAGTGGGTTACTCCAGACACCACCCCAGTGACAATTTGCATGACAGTCACTTTCCAACTTGGTTAGCTTTTAATCAGCTGGCCTTTCAAGTCACATCCACTGGTGGTCATCTGCTAGCTTGTACCCCTCTTTGAGCACTTACAGAAAAGATTATTATTATGTACAAGTCAGTCCTTGACCAAGGTTGAACTATTTCTTAGTTCTAAAGCCACAGTTCCTCCTGATATCATAACTTTCACCAAGGAAATTTTGTCCAAATATGACCCACTTGTCTACATGGACTTTGATGGGGGTCTCATCTCATTGTATCCTAGAAACAGCCTGATCTCCTTTTGGCTTAATCTGTAGACCAAGGGGGGAATGGTAAGAGAAAATACATGAAATTTGTGAATAATTTAAAAAATTCTAGATGAAATTTTAAGGCTAATATATGAGAAAATAATAATTATCTAGCCCTGCGCTGCAATTAGTGAAATTTTGCTATTTCAGGAAGAGTCTCTTGGGACTTCAGTTTGCTGCTATTCTAAGTCTTGAATCCAGGCATAAGCATCTTGACCCTGCATAAGGCTGCTGGTTCATCATTCAAGGGAAATGTCATGTGCTCCTGCAGTCTGAGGACTGGATGTCCTATGGATGTCTGTCACTGGGAAAGTTGAAACAATAACCTTTCAAAGGTGAAGATAGGATTCTCTTGACCTATCCCCATCTTGGTAAATAAGAAATTTTCCCACCTGGTTAATTCTGAGGCTGGCTTTGCCATCCTGTCATACAATTGGCTGCCTATGACTCATATCTGAAATCAAACAGAATTAATGTTGCTATCTATGTCCCTGTGTTTCTCCTCACATAGCATATTCCATTGATAAGGGCAAGTATAGTCATTTGAATCACAAATAATAGAAACCATGAAACCTTACAACTGGTGGGTTATTTAGTTTATAAGAAATCATCCTATAACATTGTTTCATCATGATAATATGATTAGTAGGAGATGTGACACCATTTTCAAAATTGGATTAAGAATTTTATATGTAAAAATTGTTCGCAACACTATCTAAAAATATTAAGAGACAAAAACTCATTTTCCAATTCAGGCCCTCATGATGCAACAATTAAAATTCTCTGAAATTTCATAGATTAATACTGGAGATAAGATTTGAGTTATTTAGTCTAAAATTTTAGTCCTTCCTAAAATTAATGTGAGGATAATTGGGTATTTACGGAACAGTTTATGGGACCAAATTGTTGTTCTATTAATTATTAAACCTAAAACAGAAACATCTTTAGTTCCAATTTGAAGAAAAGAATGTTAGAATATCTTGGGTTGCTTGAATAGGAAATACCGATTTTATTTGGGTTTGTATTACCACCTGGAAGTTGAGCATATCTTGAAAGACAAACATGTTTTATTACAAATAACTTTTTTTGATCTGCACTGTCTTGAAAGTCACTACTCAATGCATTTATACATCCCATCCCAGAATTTTTTTCTTAAAATCACAATTATTTTGTTAAATGTTAAATGAATTCAGTTGAGTATCAGAAGTCATCATCTTATAAGAAGAAAAGTGTCTGTTAATAGTTCCCTACCAGGATCTCATCCTCCTAGGAAAGGAGTGAGCAGTTAAAAGAAAATAGCTAGAAAGGAAAATAGCTAGAGTAAACAGTTTTCAGTTGGTTTTAATAAATAGTTGTAATAAGATTAGGCAATTTTATATGCCAAATACAAAATTTATATTCAGAAATTTTTAAATCTTCAATTGTTATTTGAATTTGCCAACCTAAAAAATGTAAATTCTCTGGTCTAGTAATGTTCATATTGGTGCCACTAAAATTTGAGCTCGTTTTTACTACCTGATCTGGTTATGGTCATAGCAAATCAGAATTGTATTAAGATCTATTTGTCAGAGATTATTAACAGAGAAGGGGATCTCTGCAAGTCATCTGAACTAGAGAAGTAAATCCACTAGCACCCCACTCATTCCAGTATTCCTAGGAGGTGAGATCTCCAGAGGACCACAGGACTGTATCAGATGATGTTTCAAAGACTGAACGACTTTATGAGATGCGATTCATCATCATCATTGTCATCATCATCGTCCTCTCCACAAATGGTTCCTAATCCACCTGTTCCTGAGCTGTAGTGACTGGAACTTCAAATCCCCCTTTTAAGCCAGTGTCCTACTTTGACTTTTGCTTCACCACTGACAGCAATGACTGATAATACTGATGATTTCTTCATTCATAGATTTCAACCTGTTCCTTATTTTCCTCCACTCCCCATGCACCAAACGTCTAGATCTGTTTGTGTTGTATGCAGAGATGTCTTGGGGTGGCTGTTTGCCAAAATTGCTTAAATAGTTTTCATAAAGATTTCCAGAATCTGTGTGTAGGGCAAACAACACTTGTGTTAATGTGCTTGAACAACTGCCCTATGGTTCCCCAATTTTCGTATCTTAAAGGACATGTTTTGCTAGGAGGTACCTGTCCCTTGTGGGTCTTGGTTAGTGAGAGTGTCACCTAAGACATTTATTGTTACATTTGATGTATCATGAGTTACTGTTTAATCAGATGGAACATCATCAGCATGTTATAAGTTGTGCCCATTTCCCTCTTTACTGATGTCACCTTTGCCGCTCAGTGATGGGGCTACCCTCTACTGGTTTTGCGTTGCCCATGGAGGACTGCCCTCCATGCGTTTAGATGGTAGCATTCCAAAGAAAGACTGTAGTCTTTCTGTAGATCAAAGAGGGGAATGAGGATATTGATTCAGTGGAGACCCCCTACTCTGTTCCAATCAGCATCAATCAATTTGATATGATTCTAAGTTCTGGCCCCGGAGCTAGGAGTACAGATGGTAAGATCACTTGCACCATCATGGGAAGCTGGATGGAGGCCCTCCACCCTTGTTTTTCCTGGTCATGGTGACCAAGCCCAGTGTGCCAGATTCAACTACATGAAAAGCCCCCCAAAATTATTTTTGTAACTCCAGACCATTCTCTCTTGTCCAACATGAGCAGGTGCCCATCTTATGATCATCTTATGACTACCTAGTCAATGGAGATATTCCTTGCCTTGACCAACTCATGACCCTGCTGATACATTGTTTTGTTCCTTTTAGCCTAGTTGTCATATGTTAACCAATGACATTATTCTATTCTTGACTGTTTGTATATCAAACCCTATAAAAATAGGGCCATGGAAGGAGGGAGCATCTCAGATTATGAGGAAGATCTAAGGTCTACTTCATTAGAGAGGATCATGGACCCTTTAATAAAGTGTCATTGGCTCAGAGCTCTGCCTCAGTTTCTCCTATCATAGATTAGACAATTTTTATCCCCACACTTTTGTGTGTATCCCCCTCGCCTGGATTTGAGCAACACTTTTGGATTGATGGACTTTGAGACAAAATGAAACTTACACATGGGTCCCAAAGGATCAGAATAATTCAAAGATTTTTTTAAACAAAATCTGGATGGCTTTGGGGTAGAGAAGTTCCTTTTCCCTGTAGGCCAAGTCTACTAAAGTCTGGTCTATGACCCTTCTAAATAGTAATGAACTGCCATATTCCTCATTACTGCCACTTACACAGGACTTTAAAGTTTGCAGAATGTTTTATAAGCATCATCTCTGAACCTCATAGCAACTGTCTGCAATTGTTATTCTGATTTTACTGATGAGGGATCTGAGGCTCAGAGGGCTTAAGTGTCTTGCTCATGGTCACCCAGCCAGAAAGTCTCCAAGGTAGGACCTGAACCCAAGTGTTCCTGACTCCAAGTCCAGCACAGCATACCTCACTGCCTCTCCTAGGGGAAGCTGGGTCATGTTGACAGCTGCCTTGGGCACTCCCAGACCTTTGGGGAAGCCCAGCACCACTGAAATGGGGGATTCATTGTCCTGACTGTCCTTTCAGAAAGAATCTGATCTCCAACTCTGGTCTTTAAAAAAAAACCTTCAACTTATCTGCAAAAGCAAAAACAGTTGACAGTCTCAAGTTTCTCTGGGGCTTCTCCTCCCCTCCCCTCCCCTCCCCTTCCCTTCCCTTCCCTCCTTTCTCCTCCTCTCTCTCTGTCTCTGTCTCTGTCTGTCTGTCTGTCTGTCTCTCTGTCTCTCTCTCTGTCTCTCTCCCTCCCTCCCTCCCTCTCCCTCTCTTCTGTCTCTCTTCTCTCTGCTTCCCTCCGCATTCCTTGTCTCACCCACTCTCCCAATGTTTTACTCTCCGTCCTCCTCATTCTTCTAGTTCCTCTTCCTCCCTGTCCTTTCTTCTCTCTGTCCTTCATTTTCCTCCTTCCTCCTCCTCTTTACTCCGCCACTCACCTCTACCTCATCCTCTTCCCTCTCCTCTCTCCTCCCTCCCCCTCCTCTTGCTGTCTTCATCTCTGCTTCGCCTGTGTTTAGCTTGATGGCGACGGCCCGTCCTTCCAGCACTTAGCATGCTGCCAACATTTAATACCTCTTAAAATATGAATAAGCAACAGCATTTGCCAGCTTTATGTGTTGCTTCTAAGTCTGGGTTGGGGGAAGGGGAAGATTTCTCTGTTGGACTCCCAGCTTTCCTACTCTATCTGTTTCAAGGGAGTCACATTCCCCCTTTTCAGCAAAGAACATCCTGGACCAGACTGTCCAGA